TTATGGTTTCAGGTGTCATATTTAGGTTCTTAATCCATTTGAGTTTACTTTTGGTGTAAGAAAAAGGTCCAGTTTCATTCTTTTGCTCCCCCTACAGCAAATCCACAGACACACAATGGAATATTACTCAGCCATAAAAAGAGTGAAATCTTGCCATTTGGGGTACATGGATGGAGCTAGAGTGTATAAAGTCAAATGAAATAAGTCTGAGAAAGACACCGTATGATTTCAGTCATACGTGGAATTTAAGAAATAAAACAAATGAACAAAGAAAAAAAGAGACCAACCAAAAAACAGACTCTTGACTACAGAGACCAAATAGTTGATTACCAGAGGGGAGATGAGTGGGGGGAAGGTTGAAATAGGTGAAGGGGATTAAGAGTACACTTGTCATGATGAGCACTGAGTAATGTATAGAATAGTTGAATCACCATATTGTACACCTGATGTTAACTGTACTAGAATTAATTTTTTTGAAGTCATGAAATCAAGAAACCAGATGAAAGAATTAATCTTGGCAAAAGAAGGGAACATCTCAGATAAGGAAGAATCAAGAAAGAAACCAAATGGATATTTTTGAGGTAGAAAGCAGAGATTGGGTAGCTCATGCCTGATGGCCTCGATCTCTGTGTAGTTATTTACGAAACAGCTTGCTATGTGTCAGATACTGTGCTAGGTTCTGGGTATACTCCAGTGCATAAAACTGCTCTCTCGGATAGTATTTTTGTTTTAGCCATTGCCATTAGCATGTGACAATATTCTTATGTGTTTGCTGTTTGAGGCTCTCTCCCCACTTGAGTGTAGCTGTGTTATAGTGACAAGGAAGTGACTTGTTCTTGCTGCAACGCCAGTGCTTACTACAATCCCAGACCAACAGTAGGCGTTACTATTTATGCAATTCATTAAATGTTACCTACTATGTACCACACACTTACCCCTCTTGATCTCATTCAATCCTTATAATGAAGAAAAAGGCTCAAAAAGGTTATATAAATTCCTTCCTGGAGTTTTTGATATAGAATATTTGTCTAGAAAAAAGTTTTATTATTGACTATTGGGTACTTTAAGAGTTTCCTGTAGTTCTTATGAAAAGGAAACGTATGCGATAGGCGTATGCCTTTATTCTGTTGCTTACACTTATTATAATTTAGATAATGGCTTTTTTCAAGAAGGTCAAAGTCGTGTGTATATTGAGAGCTTCAAAAATATATTCATCTTTTCAGAGAATAACTGAGTTATAAGTGGCAGCTCCTTACACATTTCCCCAATAAGTGCATTCATGCTTATTGCCATAATAATGGACTTTTTCTGTCGTTAGGTTGTTTTCCGAGGAGGAGAAGGGGCTTTGCAGGTTTTGCCTCCCCTGGTTGATGTCATTCCTGAAGCTCGGTTAAACTTAGTGATTTACTACCTTCGTCAAGGTAAGAAAAATTTGTCTTGGTCTTGCTTACAATGAGATATGGTAGAACATTTAATCTCTGATTGAGCTAGTTGCTTAACTTTTAAAATCCAAAATGCTTCCAAAAATGTATTTGCAGCAGGTTCATAGGATAGAACAAATTTATTGGTGCTTATTTGTTGTCGTACCTTTTCTCTTGCCTCCAACCTTCTCCCTCATTCTGTTTTTCTTTCTTCCTTTTATTTTTCTGTCTTTTGTTCTCTACCCATCTATTTCAGTTTTTCCATCGTTTTTCCTTCCTCTTCCTTACAGTTATTTTTCTAGTGTTCCCCTGTGTATAGTGTACATCCACATTTTCTTGAGTCTTTATCATTAACTATTTTTTCTTTAGTCTAGTTGTCTGCCTTTCTGTTTCTTTCTACCTGCAGCTTCTTATGAGAAATATTATGATTCAAAGAGAATGTGACATTGACTGCCCTTAAGTAAGGATAAAATTGTAGACACATGCCTAAAGCAGTCTTTTACTAACAGTGATGAGTGCAGGATAGGAGCTACCATGCATTGGTGGTGGCGCTGTGTCAAGGACCTCGGACTAACAGTGTGGGCCTTTTTAGGTGCATGGTAGAAACCAACCAGACAACATATTCCTCATCGAGGAAAATGTAAGTGTTTATTAAAATAAGAACATGAACGTGTAAACAGTTCTATCTGATATATAAGCTCAATGAAGTAGGCTTTTGGACAGGAATTAAATATCGTATGTGTTTTAGAAATTAATTTTTATTATAAAAAATTTCAAACTAAGCAAAAGTAAATAGTATAAATGCCCAAAACGAACAGCCAAGTATTCATTCCAGCTTCAACAGTCTTCAAGATATTGCCATTATTTTTTCATCCATACTCCCCCTACAGCAAATCCCAGACTTCATGTCATTTCACTCCTACATACTTAATATAAATTAATATGTATTCTCTTTTAAAAAATCGGTTGTTTTTCTTGTATAATTACAATGCCATTGGTATATAATAGTCCATATTCTTAGCTTGAACCCTTTTTTAGGTGCTTCATGGCTTATGGGTCTCCTAAGATATTTTGGTTATCCTTAAGATAATTACTCCACATTGAACTTGATGGAGAGTTAGAAGACAGATAAAACAACTCATACTTCCCATGAACGTTTGAGTACTGAAGGACCGTATGTTTTTGGGACTATTTCAGAAGAGTTTGCTGGAATATAGACTAGTATAGCTACTTATTTCTTGTATTTCAGATGATGTTCAAGAAGCTTATAACTTAATTAAGGATCTGGAACCTACTACTCCTCAGGTAATTGAAAATGTGTTACCATTTTACTAACCAACTTCTGTTGAAAGCAGAATTTCAGAAAGGTAGCAAGAAGGCATATTAGAGAAGATTCCTGCTTATAGAATCTCAGGGAAGACCATATATATTGATCTAGGAATGTCCTGTGAGACTTTTGATATGAGAATGAATATTCTGGATTTTTTATGTTTTTAAACTCCCTTATATGTGGTCATTTCCTCAAAAGGGTTGAGGTGTGAAAAAACCTAAATCTAGGATTACAATGGAACTAACAGCAAGGTATAGAAAGAAACTTATCTCACTAGTATAATTGTTTGTAATTTGTCTTTCCCCTACTAGATTGTTAGCTCTTTGCAGTCAGGGACCGTTGTCTATTTGGATTTCCAACACGATGTACACAAGTATGTTGTAGACATTGTACTCATTGAATGAAAGACTGAAAATGTTTCTAGACCCTATGAAATCCAAGCAGGTATAGTTCTCAAGTGTATTAAAAGCTTCAGCATTGGGATGCCTGGGTGGCTTAGCTGGTTGAGCTTCCAACTCTTTATTTCAACTCAGGTTATGATCCCAAGGTCATCGTATTGAGTCCCACACTGGGCTCCATGCTGAGTGTGGAGCCTGCTTAGGATTCTCTCTCTCTCTCTTTGCCCCTCCACCCACTCATGCTCTCTCTCTCTCTCTCTCTCTCAAATAAAAAAATAAAATAAAAGCTTTGGCATCTTTTGTGTTCTTTTTATGAGCCCTCTTAAATAAAAATAGTACCTGCATAAAAAATGGATAAAGCTGCTAAAGAAGGTGTCTATTAAAGAAAAGAGCCATGTCTGAAAGGGATGAAGGTGAGGTCTCAGGGCTCCAAAAGAGAGAATACCTTACAAATGGAAATTACAGGATACTTTTTTGTTTTTTGAGGAAAAAGATTATTATGAAAACAAAGTTATTATATTATTGGAAAGAGAAAATAATGTGTATGTTGTTGTTATGAACAATGGCAGGGGCTAATAAGGTGATAAAAATTATTACATAAATATTTTATTGTTAATTTTTTCCATTGAGTCAAATAAAACTTAAAAGTTTCCACTGAGTTTTTCTGCTTAAGATTGAGAATTTACAGATATGGTGAATTCTATTATATGGACACTTTCCTGAAAACCAAATGAAAGTCTCCTAATTCTTTCATTCAAGCCAAGGATGGAAAAGAGAAAAGTGACTCTGGGTAACTTTTGATAATATATTGAGAGTATTAAGTTGAAATTAATTTGGAAGACATCTCATAGCTACACATTCTCTTAACAGTAATTAGTGTTATTCCATGTTGCCAGGAGTATATCCTCAAAGGAGTGGTCAATGCAGCTCTTGGCCAGGAAATGGGTTCGGTAAGTATGAAATCACTGGTAACGTAGAGTCTGCAGTTACACTGTTGTGGAAAAGATCAAAGTGAACATTCAAGTTCAGCCAGCAATAAGCTTACGATTAGGCTCATTTGCAGTTCCTTTCGTTCCTCCATATCCCCCAACCTAGATTCCATTGTAAAAAGAATTCTATGTTATTTAAAGACCAAAAAAAGAAATCTTTCACTCTAAGAATTGTTGCTTCATCTTTTAAAAGCCCCATTTTTAAGCAGTGTGTTTATACCTAATAACAACTGCAAATCATCACACATCTTCATTCTTACTTTCAGTGAGTTGCATTAACCTTGCACACCTCTGAGCTGTAATCTTGGCATCTGTAAAATGGGGATAATTGTTTCTTTGGCAAAGACTTTTTATAAGCACTGCCCAAAATTAAGTACTTATTCATACGAATATGGCACATTACATTCTTTTTGGAACAAAATAGATATAAATAAATCATTTTATCTCTGGCTCCCTCTACAATAGGCATTAAATAGGTACTGAATCCATAAATGAGTGTATTTAATACTCCTTGTTATAACTATGGCTCCTACCACAAGGTCTGATATATGATAAAGGAGCAATAAATATCTGTTCATTGTGTGAATGAATGACTAAATGAATGAGTTCATTTAATGAAGGTACTTTTAGGATACAATTTGGGAATTAGGTTTTTTTCTCTTTTTTATCTGACCCTGGGTTGGTTTCAATTCAGTTTCAGGTTATGATTCTCTAGTTGCTTATGCTAATAAGAATTCGTTTGTTTGGGAGAGGATTTAAAAGAAGGGTATATATTAAATCCTGGCAGATATTTTAAAAGCATAACATATAATACAAATGAAATATTTTCAGCTTATATCAGCTCTCTCAGCTCTGCTTTGTTTTTCAGAGGGACCATATGAAAATTGCCCAGCAGTTCTTCCAGCTGGTGGGAGGGTCAGCGAGTGAGTGTGGTATGTCTGAAATCTGTACTCATTCACATGATTTGTAATTGTTGGAGTTGGTTCATATATTGACTGGTGAAGTTTGAGTCTCTGTCCGGAGATACGTCTGTCAGGCTTGAAAGAAAAGTATAAAGTAGGAAGTCCTGTGGGAGAGACACAGGAGGGAGTATTGGGTTAGCTCTTCTCAACATCTCAACTAAAGTGGGATGAGAGAATATATAAATAGAGGAGAATAAATGTAATCTTTAGTTCATAAGAGTTCTTAAAATTCGATTCTGTTTCTTTTTATTTATTTATTTTTTTATTAAATTTTTTTTTTAACGTTTATTTTTTGGGACAGAGAGAGACAGAGCATGAACAGGGGAGGGACAGAGAGAGAGGGAGACACAGAATCGGAAGCAGGCTCCAGGCTCTGAGCCATCAGCCCAGAGCCTGATGAGGGGCTCGAACTCACAGACCACGAGATCGTGACCTGAGCTGAAGTCGGACGCTTAACCGAGCCTGAGCCACCCAGGCGCCCCCGATTCTGTTTCTTTTTAATGTTTATTTTTCATTTATTTTGACTCAGAGAGGGAGAGTGTGAGCAGGGGAGGGGCAGAGAGAGAGGGAGAGAGAATCCCAAGCAGGCTCCATGCTGTTAGCACAGAGCCTGATGCAGGGTTCAAACCCACAAACAGATCATTACCCCAGCTGAAGTCAAGAGTTGGATACTTAACCAACGAGCCACGCAGGCACCCTGATTCTGGTTTTGATTTGAAATGTTAACTTCTCTTGATTTTTCAAGGGCTTTCTAAGTATTCAACTTTCATCATGTCATAGGTATTTTTTCTGGCGGGTCATTTGCCTTTCAATTTTGCCTGTGGTATTTTTTCACATAAAAAATATTTAAATCTTATTCAATTAAGTTTACCTTTTTATGATGATATTATACATGGGTATGTAGGTTAGAAAATGCTTCCGTACCCCCACAGTTAGATAATATTCACTTATATTTCCCACTAGTAGTTTTGTTGCTTTATTTTCTTAAGTATTGATTTCATTGGTCAAGAGTGTAAGATTTGAGAAAGGGCTATCAAAAGGGCTGTGAGTTGGCCAGTGGGAGCTGGTACGGCTGTTTGCACCAGTTGTCTAAGGCCAGCATCTTTTCTGGTGGACAGTGTTCGTAGTGAACTAGTTGTTAAATATTTTTATCACCCCTGAATATTCATTTTCTTTCAAATGTTTCACCATGACCATTTATTGAATAATATTTCCTTTCCTCATTTCATTCATTTATATAAGAAACTTTATTGAGGTGCTGGGGATGTAGCAGGAAATAAAACCAACAAGTCCTCCAGCCTTGTGGAGCATACAGTCCAGTGGGACAGACAATACACACAATAAATAAGTAGATCACATGGTGTATCTGACTGTGATAAGTGCTGTGGGGGGAAAATTAAACAGAGCAAGAATGAATAGGAGTCCCAGTGTCAAGGGTGGGGGTCACACTAATTCTCTACTATCTCAAACAGGAATCTGATATCAGACAGAAAGTTGTTCAGGATCAGGACCAGCTGGTTCCATGGCAAATTATTCCTCCATTTGATCTGGAAGTGCTAGGTTGTCTTATAGACAAGTGATGGTGAAGACTAAGCCACATTAGTTGAGTGTGCACGTGTTGGAACGGGTGAGAGACTCAAAGACGTGGGAAAACATACGAGGAATACCGTAGCCTGCAGGACGTGTGTTCCTTCTGGAGTCTGTGAGTTAGGCCCAAGAGAGATCATTGGTCACCCTCAAGTACTGTGTGACCTCCATTATGCTGGGGTTTTGTCCACTGAACAGAATCTACAATCTCAGAATCTAGAAAGAGGTCTTGGAATACATTCCTATCTCTGAATTATAAAGTGACTCAAATCTCAGCTAAAGAGAACTTGCAGTTTCGTGAATATACCTGGTTCCTTTTCCCATTCCATTTCAGATACAATACCCGGGAGGCAGTGCATGGCTTCCTGTTTCTTTCTGCTTAAGCAATTTGATGATGTCTTGATTTACCTCAACTCATTTAAGGTCAGTATAGAATTTTCTAGATGAGTTTGTATACAAAATACTACATATAATGTGTCAGAGATAAGATACTCATAGAGATGGCCCTTTTACAATGGTGGTGATGGTGGTGTCAGCCCATGCCTTAAAAATCTTTGAGTTTATCTGGTATAACTGATGTTTTTATATTTTGTATGTTAATACTCAATGTGACCTATTCTTGGGATGTTTTCCAGAGTTACTTCTACAATGATGATATCTTTAACTTTAATTATGCCCAAGCCAAAGCTGCAACAGGCAATACCAGCGAGGGTGAAGAGGTGGGTATCTGCTTTTGATGCATTTGAATGATTTCTATTTATAAACACTGTCTGCTTTAACTTTTTGAGGAGCCTCCATACTGTTTTCCAGAGTGAAACAAAACGGATAAACATAGGGGAAATAAAAAAAAAAAAAAAAAAGAGAAGCAAACCATAAAACAGACTCTTAACTATAGACCACAAACTGAGGTTTGCTGGAGGGGAGGTAGGCAGGGATGGGCTAAATGCCTGATGGGTATTAAGGAGGGCACATGGTAAGCACTGGGTGTTGGATGGAAGTGATGAATCACTAAATTCTACACCCAAAATCACTATTACACAATATGTTAGCTATCTGGAATTTAAGTAAAAACTTGAAAATAAATGATAAAAATAAAAACATTGTTATCTTTTTGTCACTGAAACAATGTTCAAGGGCAAAGGATTATGAAAAGTTCTTTTGTTCTTAGGTTATATTAAAAAGTAAAATATGAATAGACATAGATTTTGTAACTATGTACTGTTTTCCTTTTTTTGATAGCATTTATGAAAGCATAACATACAATGAGAAAATTGTACAAATCAAATCAAAGTATACAGCTTGATGAATTTTGAAAGTGAACATATCCAGATAATCAGTACTCAGATCACGAAACAGTATTACCCTAGCCCCATAGAAATCTCTTCATCTACTTGTTTGAGTCTGTCTCTTTCCCCGGAGGCTAACCACTATTTTGACTTCTAACCCTGTAGATTAATTTGTCTGAATCATTCAAAGCAATTCAGTTGAATTATTCAATTCAGTTTTGTTATTATTTAGCAAATTGTTCCACTTATTATTATTCAAATTCAAATTCTTTCCTAACTTCCATTATGATGTCTTCTTTGTGAAATTTTTTTTTAATGTCTTTACTTATTTTTGAGAGAGAGAGACAGAGCATGAGTAGGGGAGGGGCAGAGAGAGAGGGAGACACAGGATCCGAAGCAGGCTCCAGGCTCTGAGCTGTCAACACAGAGCCCGATGCAGGGCTCAAACTCACAAACCATGAGATCATGCCCTGAGCCAAAGTCAGACGCTCAACCGACTGAGCCACCCAGGCGCCCCTTCTTTGTGAAATTGTATTTAAAATGTGTTTCATTGGGAATGCAAGCTGGTGCAGCCACTCTGGAAAACAGTATGGAGGTTCCTCAAAAAATTAAAAATGTAACTACCCTACGACCCAGCAATTGCACTACTAGGTATTTATCCAAGGGATACAGGTGTGCTGTTTTGAAGGGACACATGCACCCCCATGTTTATAGCAGCACTATCCACAATAGCCAAAGTATGGAAAGAGCCCAAATGTCCATCGATGGATGAATGGATAAAGAAGATGTGGTATATATACAATGGAGTATTACTCGGCAATCAAAAAGAATGAAATCTTGCCATTTGCAACTACGTGGATGGAACTGGAGGGTATTATGCTAAGTGAAATTAGTCAGTCAGACAAAGACAAAAATCATATGACTTCACTCATATGAGGACTTTAAGAGACAAAACAGATGAACATAAGGGAAGGGAAACAAAAATAATATAAAAACAGGGAGGGGGACAAAACAGAAGAGACTCATAAATATGGAGAACAAACTGAGGGTTACTGGAGAGGTTGTGGGAGGGGGGATGGGCTAAATGGGGAAGGGGCATTAAGGAATCTACTCCTGAAATCTTTGTTGCACTAGATCCTAACTAATTTGGATGTAAATTTTTAAAAAATGGAAAAAAAATGTGTGTCATGATTTTCAAATACGTGTATTATCTTTCCCAAGCTTTTTATTTTGATTTCTAACTTAATTGTATTGTGGCTATCCAATGTGGTCTGTAAGACACCAGCCCTTCAAAATTTGTTGAGACTTGTTTTACTACCCAGTAATACGGTCAGGTGTTCTTTTTTTTTTTTTTTTT